GAAACGACATTCTTAGGCGACATTAGAGGAAGCAAGAACACATAATTGTGTGAATAGGTGGATGGGCCTGTAGCGACCTATCCACACTTTTCCATTTAATCCTTAGTCTTATTATATGACGTGCGTAGCCATGGTTCAATATCTTGGACACAGATCACATTAGACTATGGCTAATCCTTATTATTTAATTCGCATCGATCAATCAAAATTTGGCACCACATCTTCCAATCAGAAGGAGACATGGAAAATTACGCAAGGGTATTTCAAGTAGCTAACACACCGTCTAGGTGGGTCATATTTTCCTACTTTTCTCCTCCGCTATGACCATCGGAGTTTAAACATTTCTATTTCGCGCCGTCTTCAATAATTGTCTTTCTCTAAATAGGGTATTTGGTTGTAAGACTTTTCCTTTTCTCTCTTCGTCTCGGGGCATTCAACTTTATATCACGTAGAATGGAGGCATTTTATTTTTTAGAGACAGCCTCCGTCTTATCGGATCACAAAAGGTCATATGAAGTGGGATTAAGGTCTACCTGGTGTTCCGATCAAGTTGCGAAGATGAGGTAAAACCAACACTAGAAAGCTAAAGGAGACTGCGGTTATACAGGTCACTATCTTGGTAATCATATCTACAAGAAAGTTAAATAAATGAGTAAAATATAATATACAGTGATGCTTCAAATCAAAGAAACGAGAATAGGAAATACGAAGTATGCAAAAAAATAATGAAAGACACCATCAATGTAATAGCTAAAAATAATTTGGTTAGGTTATTTTATGAGGTAATCAGTGTGCTTAACTCCTTCTAGAACTTATAAATGTAGGCTTTATCGAGACCAAAGTAAAAGGTAAATTAAATAGTTTGAAAACAGGAAAATTAAGCCAAGCTACCTCAGGAATAAAATTCCTTTTAACAGGAACTGATTAACCTTGTAAATTTAAATGATCTAATATTATAGCATGAGAATACGAGATATGATTGATTCTGAATTCTATAGCATGGCTCATACTTACGCATAGTTGGGGTAGATTAAACAGGAAACCATAGTAACCATAATGGGAGAGTACTTAGTATCTATAAAGAAGGGCCTACATTGAAAGCTTTGATCTGTCGATTTCGGAGGCTGAGTCCCAGGCTCGCAGAATGCCAGCAACATGAGCAATACCGACCACGGCAACTACTACTCGAGACAGTTGGTCGGAGGGCAGCCAGGCCATGCAACAATGGCTAGGTGGCCAAGACACTTGATCAAGCAACGGCAACGGTAATGAAGTGACGGAATGCGTGATATCTCCAGACAAGGATGTGAGAGGAGTGGTGGAAGAGTTTGCTGTAAAGGCATGCATAAAAAGGATGATAACTTCATTTGAGAAAAAGATATTATTTGAATGGGAGTGGCTAGAATAAAACTTGCTGAGGTTTGAAATGTATGGAAAAAATAATCGAAGCATATTGTATAAATTGGGAGAAATATAACTTCCGAAATAAGAGCAAAAATGTTCAGAGGATTTTATTAGCGCATAATACGTCAAAATACGTGAAAAAAATGTGGACTGAGTTCACAGCTATTTAAGAAATTATTATAGATTAATTTACACACGAGCACATTTTTGTATACCTAACAAGAAATAATCTAAGGCTTAGCTAAGATATAAAAGAGTTTGCATTAAAGCTAATTAGTCGCAAAAATGTGTGGTCATTGACTATGCGGGAAGTAGGTCTAGATACCTCATTTATAGTTCTAGCAAATAAACGAAATACTAATTTTTTCTGATGCTCTAGATAGTAAGCAACGAAAAAGGGCACTATTTTAAGCGATTCCGGTCAAATAGTTCAAAATCAAAGGAGAATGTGGCCAAGTGAGATAAAGCCACATCTTAGAAAAAGTAGTTTTATTTATTATACCAGGAGGCTGGGTAGAATCGAGGGTCAGATTTGATAAATTGATTTGTCGCTGTTTCACCACACCATTACAATCCAAGTCCTCAGTCTCCTCTGCTCTGATGTGAATGATAGCATCTTGGGCAGCTTCACTGGGTGCCGAAACCAAGTCGACTGGACCGTTTGCCTTGATGTTAATTGCGGCGGTGGCTGATTTTGCATAGGTGGTGATACGAGATCGTAGCATAGAGACCGGAACACCAAGAGCAAGTGCTTCCGGAAGACCAGTTTGATCCCAGATTGACCGAGCCAAGAAGAGATCGCGCTCCGTCAACACAACCTGACTGAGAGCGGGAACCTCACCTGCCAACTCGAGGAGAAGCTGCTCTAGCAGATCAGATCGCTTTATTTCTTCAATTTGCTCCTTCCTGGTCAGATATTCAACGAGAGGTCGTAAAAGTATTAGTAAAATAAAGTGGGCCGACAATTGGATGGCAAAATGGTCAAAAATGTTAAATAAGAAATATCAATATCTACTACTCTCAGAACCTAGTAATTATTAATATGAAAATAAAATATTTAGTCATTCTTGTGAGTAATATCTGGTGTTTAAGTAGTCATTTACATGCACCTTTTGAAGAGACAAACCTATGTAAAATTAAATGGCATTGCTAAGCCCATCCATATCACTGATGTATTATCAATCCTTCATTACCTTATGCGACATAGGTGATTACAGCTCTTATTTAAGATAGTCTCAAAACCCACTAACTCCGAATGAGTCAAGTACAATATATAAAAATATAGTGCATCATTGTTTCCTTAGATAGACTATCAAAGTGTAAAAAAAGCAAACAGAATAAAATT